ATAAAACCATTATATATGCATTACAAATAGCTTCTGCTATTTTAATTGATAACTAAATTATTTAAAAACAAACCCAAATATACCAATGAAAATTCAGAAAGAAAATGCCTCAAGTGGCTTTCTGACTCATCCTTTTTATCACTAAGCAAGCATTTGCTACATTCCAAGTAATATTCTTAAACTGATTATAAAAACAAGCGAATACTTTCCTTAATCAAAGGGGGACTGAAATAAGAGTGACAAAAACAAATAAAATTTCTTCCCTTCCTTTTGCCCATTTCCTCCGAAATAAGCTTTTGCTATTGATATATAGATTTATTCACTTTTAGGAATAAGGCTTTTAATGATGATGTTCCAATTGCTCATAAATTATATAGTATTTTAAAAAGGGCATGCTTCATGTGGCTTAGAATAACTGGAGAACCCACACGTTCCTTGCTTTTGTTTATTTAAATACATATATTGAGTATGCATTACTTTTATCAATCCAAAAAAAAGTAAAGAAATTCTTGGGACCTCTTTGGTGGTACAAGGGGTTAAGTATCAGCACTATGAAGCTATGGGTAGTTAACTGCGGCCTGTGTTCCATCCTGGCCAGGGAGCTGACCCACATGGCGTGGCAGACCTCTCCTGTCTCACCCGTTGCTCCCCTCAACTGTGTATTTCAGTCAATCTGCCTGTTCTGCTCCGTACTCTGTCTCTGGTGAATCTTCTCCCCCACCCCACACATGTGGTCTACACCCCAGATCTTATATACATAAATAAATAAAATAAATTAAAAAAAGAAATTCTTAAAAAAACAAACAAACCCCCAAACCTAGCATGTATTTTAAATCTAGCATAGTGATTTAGGATCAGACACTTACATTTTTCAGCCTCAGTTTACCCACCTATAAGATGGGGTTAATACCATGTGGAGTTGTTCTGGGGAAAATGCCTCTTGTATGGTATTGACACAAGCCTCAGGTTGATGTAAAATGAGGGAGTTGGATTAGTTGTTTGTGTTGCTTTTGAGAGTTACTACTCTTATTCCCACTTTTTATATTGGCAGAAAAAGATTGTTAAGTGGAAAGATAAATGTTTTTACTTGATTTCAGATAATTATTTTTCTTTTATTTCCTGAAGAACCAGAAAACCACAAACAGATGAGCAGTAACTCTGGAATGCATGGGCCACTCCACCCTGGACACCTGGGAAATGACAGGGTATTTCCACTTATTAGAATCTCCCTGATGAGAAGATCATTCCTTATTGAGAAGATTGAACTTCAGTTTTAATAAGTCAGTGTTCTCCATTACAAATACATACTCTCAATTTTAATCTTTGACTACTCTGTGTCTCATCTTTAATTAGTATGCTTACCTACATTTGCAATCCAAATACTCTGCTTAAGCAGTTATGCAAGTGTTCCATAATTCATTATACTATATGTCATTGGTCAAAGTCCAATAAGACAGTATCAATTAGGGGAGTTTGCATATTAACTGGGTATATTTACAGGGTTGTCTCCTAACATCTGAAATGCTAATAATTGCCTGTCTCTCATGGTATTGGGGTAATAATTTTACAATTTTCTTTTTGCTTTTCTACGATTGAAAAGTAGCACACATCATAGCAGTAGTAATAGTTACAAAAGGTAAAAATTTAAAAAGGGCAGAGAAAACTACAACATTGGGAAATGTTGCCATTCCAAATTGCTCAGAACATGACATGTTTTTCAGTTAATTAAAATATTGTATGGATACAGAATTGTAAGGAACACCCACATGGTTTAGAATTCAAAATATCTCATGTATGAGATTTCTTAATTTAAGCCTTTTCTGTGCCTACCAAATGCCAGTGGGTGAAAAAACGCCTTCAATGCCATTTTGGCATTTCTACTACCCTGTGTAGCTTGGTAGGATTCTTCCCTTCCAGGACATAGCAGTCCCAGCTTTTCTTGTAGAAAAAAAGAAAAAACCCACTCTATTTGCTTAACATTAATGTTATAGTAGAACTGAACATAAGGAGACAATTTTTGTTTCCATATTTATGAACCAGTTTCTCTATTACAAATTGTGGATAAGACAATTTGCTCCTTATTGAATTTGGAAGACTGGGGGAATTCTTACTATTAGTAATAATAATAAAAATTAACATTTTCTGACAAGTATTTTCAGGTATCGGGCTGGGCACTTTGTCAAGTATTGTTTTATTTTAACAGTGCAAGACTGTATTATCCACTTATTATCATTTTTCAAATGAGGAAACAGGCATAGCTAAGCTAAATAATTTACCATATACAGTGTTGGTAAATGGTGATGCAATGTCTGATTCTGAGACACTGATTTTCCTTTACTTTGACCTTCTAGGAGAAAGATGGAAATGTTCTGCAGTCCATTGCACTGCCTACAATTCTTTAGCAATAGATACCACACTTCTTGGCCACCCCTCCCCTGTCCCAAACATATAACCCAGTAATTCAGACATGTAGTTTCCTTAAAGTCCTTTTCTCTCAAGTCAAATATGATGACTTTGGTCTAACATTTCATTACCCTACTGCCATCAGTGGGATTCTAAGCCTACTATTTTTTCAAGACTCAGTTTAAACTTCTTCACCATGTTCCTGTTATTCTTGATATATTTATTGCACCAAGGATCTCATTGTGTCATCAACTAAATTGTGAGCAACTTACAGGAGCCTTTTGTTGCTGTTGTTTTCAAAGGGTCTTTCAAAGTTTCTCAGCTTTGAGAAAAAGTTTCTCAACAGGCATTCAATTAAAAAACTAAAAAAATGAATGAAAGATTACATCAGTGATTTATAAATTCAAGCACAGAATTCATTAGGAATTTGTAGAGGGACCTATATTACTTCATTCCCTGTAAGCTTTAAAGTTATCAGAAAGGGCCTCCCTGGTGGCTCAAGCGGTTAAGCACTGCACTATGAAGCAATCCACAGCCTCTGCTATTGTACAAAGTAAATCTCTTTTTTTTTTTTAAAGATTCATCTATTTATACAAGAACCAGGGTACAGTCCAGATGCGCGGGAGGGTGAGAGGATTCACCCAGAGACAGAGCAGGGAACAGAACAGGCAGACTGACAAAACACACTGGTGAGGGGAGCAGGGGGCGAGACAGGAGAGGTCTGCCTCGCTATAGGGGATTCTCACCGGCCGGTGGGGATCGAACCGGCGCTGCAGAGGCTGTGGACACCTTCACAGTGCGGCGCTCAACCGCCTGTGCCAACAGGGAGGCCCAAATAAAATAAATTAAAAAAAAAAAAAGAAGTAGTCACTCTTCATTGAGCAACATGGACAATCACCTTGAATTCTCACAATAACAGGTGGGTTTATTATTTCCATGATATAGTTGAGAAAAAAGGTTTGAAAGGTTAGGAACTTGTCCAGAGTTACACAGTAGTGGAGCCTGTTTTCAAAGAAATTTGCAGAATGAAGCCACTATTGATTCCTTCCAATTCTCTTTTTTGAAAATTTTGTTTGGATTTTGCAGTCTTTCCTTCTTAAAACCCCAAACTCCTCATCTACCTCAGTATTATGAGCGAGGGTACCAACCAACCTTTTTTCCTATTATAAATAGACCTCTTTCTGGAGGCAAATTGTTTTAAACTTTCTTAAGTCACATTCTTTGTAGGGTAGAAACTGCGATGAAGTTCAGGAGGATTTGACAGGTTCATTGGAAGATCTGTCACTTAAAATAGAACGCAGTCAGCAATAAATAGTTTTCCTCCGGCTTCATACACAAGGAAGTCTCTAGCAGCGAGAGAACGGACCTCCTTATCTTTGTGGGAATTTGGTTACTCACACCTGAGGTGGCTCTCGAGGGACTGTGTTGCCCACATCTAAGATGACTGCTAATAAACATCTCCTTTGGGTGAGTCTGTTCCTTTTGCCGGTGCTATTTTCAATGAGAACTACCGTGAATAAAATTGAGTAAAAATTAGTGCCTCTTAATCAAGATGAAAAAATAGGAAGTTGGCACGTTTTGTTTAGAAAACCTGCAACAGGTCAAGTTTTTTTTCTCGCCCTTAACCAAAATGGCCGTAAAGGTTGTCTTATGGTATGAAGCTTCCAGCCCTTAACTAAGATGGCGCCGGAGGCTCTTTAAAATTAGCTTGCCCTCTTTTCTGCCCTTGACTATCATGGCTTCCGCGGCGTCGGTCACACGGCACGTCGGGCTACGGCGCGGGAGAGGGGGTAGGAGGGCCCTTGAAGGGTGCGCATTCCCGTGCCTGTGCACCGGGTAGCTTTCAGTCAGAGTCACTATGGCGGCCGGCGCTGGCAGGGTAAGCAGAGGCGGCGGCGGTGGCGGGCGCAGGGAAGGCTGAACCCATTGTGGCGTCGGGGCTCTAAACCCTCGCAGCCTGTCCGCGGAGAGATCGGCTCGAGTCCAGGCCGATCCCGGGGGCCGGCGGTATCGGGGTTGAGGGGATCGCGGGCAGAGGCGGGCGGGCACCGGCGCCTGACGGCCGTTTGTTTTGATGTTTTCCCCACCAGGTCGGAAAGTTTCCTGCCTCGTCTGACACGGCCTGAGCGTGTCCCGCCGGCCGCGAGCAGTGGAGGCTGCGGCGGACCCAGCCCGGGGCCTCCAGGCCTCTCCCCCAACCTCCGGGCCAGTCTCCCTCCCCCACCTCCTCGTCCGCTAGGAACTGCGGCTGCTGTCCCTGAGATGCGACCCTCGCGGGGGCGGCCCTGAGGGGAGGCAGCGGGTCTGCTGAGCCACAGCCAGGAGCTCAGTTGTCCGGGGCTCAACTTCCCGCGGGCAGAGACCCCCGAGCCTTCCGGGGGTTGCGCTTAGCACGGTCCGCACCGGCCTGCCGCGCCGGATCCCCGCCCTGCTCGCGGGGACGCCCGCCAGGTGCCCGGAGTCCCGACTCGGGCGCGCCCCGCTTCCCCGCGGGTCCCACTCCTCGCGCGAAGGACCCCGGCCACCGCCGCCCCGGCTCGCGCGGGGCCGGGCACCGTGTCCCACCTCCCGGGCAGCTTCCGCGAAGCAGGGGCGAAGCAGACGGTCTTGCTGGCTGTGTAGACCCTCTCGCCCCTCCACTTCCGAGGCCCCCGGGAACGGGCGGTGTCGGCTTGGAGGTGCTCGGGTGCACCTTCCTTCGGCCCCCAAAGACTTTCCTGGCCGCACCGAACCGACCCTTTCTTCATGCTGCAGTGCTGCAACATTTCCGCCACCGAGGGGGAAAAGCGGCCGCGATCCCAAACAAAACGCAAGAATTGGCGTGTGACTCATCGGCTTGGATACCTCCAGTCCCCAAACTGTCTTCCAGGACTTTTCTTGGCCGAAGCTGTCCGATGTTTGAACCTTTTCTTCCCCGGGAAGAAGATGGACTGAAAGCTGCCAGTTGGGGACTTTTCGTGACCAGGGCGCAGCTGGGGTTTGAAGGAGGTGATGGGGCTTGTGCTGGCTTGTCTTCCCACTCTAGTGAAGAGTTGTTGATGATGTTCACTGGTTATGCTTAGACAATGCGCAGTTTGTTTTGATTTAAAATTTTGGGGGGGGATAGGGGTATAGGCTTGTGACGGGCAGTCGGGATTCGGTGGAACTCCTCTTTGTCCCTGGTAGGAGAGACACCCCCCAGTCTGTCCTCGATGCCGTCAGCCTTGGCCATCTTCACTTGCCGCCCGAACTCGCACCCGTTTCAGGAGCGTCATGTCTACCTGGACGAACCCATTAAAATCGGCCGTTCCGTGGCCCGCTGTCGACCTGCGCAGAATAATGCTACCTTTGATTGCAAAGTGCTGTCAAGGAACCATGCTCTCGTCTGGTTTGATCACAAGACGGGCAAGGTAATGTCATCACGTTGTCTAATCTTTCAGATTCCTTTGCCTTTTCTTCATGATGTCTGCATAATCCCTGGGTTTGCACCCAGAAGCTGCTGTCAGCCACACCGTGGAATCAACTTTTTGTGTATTTGGTTCTCGTGGAAATTTAATTGAGGTAGTTGAATGGAAAACAGAGAAGATATTGTAATTAAATGCCTGGAAAGGGCGATGGCATGTTGATAGTGGTCCTTCCCAGTGAAATCCCAAACCCTAATTTGCTTTAGAACACTAAATAGTGAAACTTGGCCTCTTGCTTTTAGTCTTTTTAGAAAGGTGAATTTGCAGTTCAGTGTTTGATTAAGCAAACAGCAGGTCCCAGAGCAATGCGGGGAATCCCAGGCCAGTATTACTCTGCGGCTCAAGTGTCTCAGTGGTGAGGTGTAGTTACCTGGTAGCTTTCAGTTGGGTTCAAATCAGGACCTTTCAGTAAGTACAACTGTTTGTGTAAATTTACTGTTTTTGAAAGATTTGATACATATTTACTCATGAAGAGGTAATTTGCAGTTATCAAAACCAATTTAATTAAGAAGGAACAACTGTAGCTTTACATTTTCAGTTTTGTTTGCAAATTGGATGAACATGTATCAATTGCTTTTGAAAATCACTTTTTTATGTTCCCTGTAGCACTATAACAGAGGTGGTATTTAAAAATCAGTGTTAGGAAATGGATTCATTTTCTGAAATTTTATCCAATTCTGTCAATGATTGCATTACTGAGATGTGATGAATTTAGTGCTTCTTTTAAATGTGACCATTTTAGCATTTTTATGTTGACACCCTAATTTACTTTACATGTAGGTACCTATATTTCAAGAATACAGGAGAAAAAAATGAAGGATGACTTTCAATTTTTAAAACTCATTATATGTGTGGAGTTTATAGTAAAGAGCTCATCTTTGTGCTTAAACTTCAGGTTTTAGTTGAATACTGAATCAGTTCCAACTTAGAGTAAGTTATGTAAGACTAATAAGAATAACTCGGGTTTCATGTCCTGACTTTTTGCTCCCTCTTTTTGGGTTAAATGATTAAATCTTTTTTAAAAGAAAAAATTAAGTCTTCAAGGGTAGTGTTTTGAAATGAAACAAACCTGTCTCAAAGGGAAGATAGCCGTGTCTCTGTTGTTTCTGAATTAAGGAATTACTATACGTCATTTTTTAAAAGAAAGGAGGAAAAGATTGCCCAAGTGCTATGTGTTTGCATAATACCACCTATCCCCTACTCCGTGTGTAGAATGAGAACTGAGAATAAATTTTTATGTGTAACACCAGATGCTCATTACCAGGGACACAGACCTTTTTTCTCCCTGGATATTAAAGTTTGGGTCCCTCAGTGACTTCATAGATTGCCCATAATCATTTAAAATGAATATTCATAGGACTTATCTCTCCTGCAATCAAATTCAAACATCAGTTAACTATGAGTGCCTTAACTCAACCAGCTTTTACATTTCTGTCTTTTTATGTCCTTGGGCAACAATTAAGGTCCAACTTAATTAGATAACAGGTTTGCTCAAATACATACTTTGCAAATGCATGTTCTTTACTTTAATTCAACTCTCAGAGGAGACAGATTTTTTTCTTTTATGTGTTTGAAAAATAATGATTACTTGAACAGTGCTTTTCATGGCTATGCTAAAACCCCACAATAGGTTATTTTGAGATAACTAAGAATAGATCAATAGTGAGTGTTTATTATATAAGTGGAGCTATGTTAAAATTTGAATTTTAAATGGAATTTGTTATTAGAAAAACTTATCTTTAAAGAATATAAGACTTATTCTGCTATTTCTTCTTTTTCTACCCTACTTTGTTAGCTAACATACACTCTGGATATGAAAGCCTTTACTTTAGGTGTAGATATAATTGATTATTATACCACCTAATCTAGCTTAAACAACCTGTCAGATCTTGCCATTTGATCAGTTTGTGTTAGGAATTAATTATTTAAAATTTAGGTTTGAACAGGTAGTAGGTTTTTATTTAGCATGTGTTATGTGTCAGGTATTATGAGGTACAGTGTTCCAAAGAAAACCCACAGTTAGACCATATATCATTTATTGTGTATTTTTCTCTGTGAAATTTCCGGCTTTTGCCATAATTGTCTTAAAAGTCCATGGCCTTAATTTGTATTCCCAGCACATTCCTTTGTAGGATGCAAGTATCCCCTTCTTCTGTAAGCATTGCCTTAGGCAAGTCCCCCTTACCCCAAACATCTCTAATCTTCAGTTTTCCTTTTTGTAGATAATAATGGTACCTACTATTGTTTTTGAGAATTGAGATAATCATGTAAATTTCTTAGTACCCTTTGTCACCTTTATTAAGGGATGTTACTTCAAGAGAAGGGTGTTAGGGACTGGCAGGAAGAGGGAACCATCCAAACAGCTTCTTTGCAATTTGTTGTGTTGTAGGGGAATCCTGGGAGGAAGGCAGTGTAGGTAATGAAAAATTATCTTCTTTCATGTGATGAAATATGTAGAACTAATTTTTAAAACTGAAACTTAGCAAAGTTCAGAACTTTGTGCAAGCTGGCAGTTTACTGCTAAATTGGGGCTGTATGCCATTTGGTTGACTTTCAGCTAAATCGTTATGTTCTGCATTGCTCATTATTGGAGCCCCACTAGGAACTGGAAGAAATAGTAAACATTTGAAACTTCCTGATAATGCAAATAATATTCATTCATTGTAGAAAATTTGTAAAACGTAGGTGAATGAAAGTCGAGGTGACACTTTTTAATGCGAGGTTCGTAGACTATATGATGGTACTTAAAACCTGTGTGTCAGAGGTGACAGGTTTTTCGAAATCCTCTACTTAGGGATGTAGGAGTTAGATATTGCCCTGATTTGATGTTGACCCAATGGATCATCCTTCACTCCTTTTTTGGAGGTCAGTTCTTTAGATTATCAATAGATGGCATGCAATAGAATGGTTATTAATCCTGCTATTGACTACTGACCAAGTAAATCTTGCCCATATCATGGTTTCCACAGATGGCATGAGTGGACTGCCTCCTTATGATTTGGATGGCCCTACTTGATTGGAGGTTTTGTGGACACGTGATAGTCTAATGGTTGACACAGTAGTCTATTTTCGATTTCACTGTCATTTGCTTAGTAAATCGTAGTAGTTGTTGTCCACTACCAGTTGACTTTTTTACAAACACACATTTTTGAGCACTGGTTCTATTTTAATCAGTTTTAGTGAAAGGTGGAAGGAAATGAGAACTGGTAAGAAATTGTTACTCTATTTTCTTTTTTTTTAGGAGCTTTTGTTTTAATTAGAGAGTGACTATACACCTTGAGAACAATTTATTGAGATAAATAATATAAGTTTAAATGGCAAGAGAATGATGGTGTTTGAATTTGACTTTAAAATGGCAGTGGATAGATGTTAGTTAAGAAAAAGTGCTTTTGGGGGTTGTTTTTGTGTGGTTTGAGGGGATAAGGTATAATAAAATAGACAAAAGTATTAATTTTGAATGAATTTGGCGTTTTGTAAACCACAAGAAGACTGATTTTGTTGGATTGGAGAGTTCTTTTAAGAGTACTTAGGTGTGACCATCCATTCTATGTGATGTTTTTATGTTGTACCTTGTTTTTGTAATTAGTTCTCAGGGAATCTGTCATATGTCTATTTCTTATTTTGTATAAAGTAGATGTTGAGTAACTGAAACTGAGTAGTTGGTGTGGTGCCAGATTATAGAGTGCCTTGAACAGATCTAAGGACATGAATGTATGGCCTATGAAAGGCCAGTAAGATTTTTGTGCATAGAAACTAAGCTAACAAACTAAAATTTAGGAGAGACACAAAAATAATATGTTGAGGGACCCGGAGTAAGAAAAAATGGGTGACAGCTTAATTAATACTAGTACATATTCTGTCTCTTGTGCTCTAAATACTTTACATGTTAACTTATTTAATCCTTAAATAAGTATTTAAGATGGGTACTTGCTTTATTTACCCATGTTAACCTATGAGGAAATTAAGGCACAGGAAGATTGGATTTGGTTGACTTGCTCAAATTTACATAGCTAGTAAGTGGTAGTGATGGGATTTGAACTGAGGTATTCTGCCTCTGGACTCTTATTTACAGACTAAAATTTAAGCACTAACTGCTTTGCTGTTTGAAGGCATTATAACAACTTGGATATGATGTTTTTGTCATTTTGTGAAGGATACAGATCAAGTTAACGGTAGGAATTAAGGTGCCAGAAAAATGAAAAAAAGTAAAAATAAAGACAAGTGTGTGTTAACTTGTCCATTGGGACTTGAACAAAGAGAGAGATTCTGTATGGAGTGGACATTTTAGGGAAGGTTTCAGGGATGAGATGGCTTCATAAATGAAATGCAATTTGAGCTAGACCTTAGTGTCTTATGTAAGACGATATGTAGGTGGAGTCAGTCAGGGAAAGATGTTTTGGGTGAGAGGAATTGATCAAGTAAAAACATAAAAGCAGGAATGAAATGGCACATTCTCAGGACATTGCAAGGAATTCACTCAAAGGAAAACTCTTTAGAATTTGATGACCAAGATCATCATACTAAGCTAACTGTAAAGATCCTGGCCTCAGAATGGTCATACATTCATTGATTTTTTTTATGTGTTGTTTTAACAGATATCTAACTTTTTTGTTGACAGAAGTAAAAAGGTCATTAAAAGGTTCTGGTTTTTGTGAGGAAAGCCATATATGTAACACATTATGTTTAAAGCACATTAATGTAAACCTGTTTAGAAGGTCAAATCATGTATGTAAAGCACATATTCATTTCCTATGTTACTTTTCACAGTAGTGGAAAATTACTGAAATGTTTTAGCTATCATTTCAAGTTGTTCAAAATATGGTTGCTTATCTGTCCTTCAAACTTTTTTCCCTACTTAGTTATTTGACTTTATTCCTTAGATTAAATATTCTCTTTACCTTCTGAGATTCTTATTTGGTTTTCTCAAGTGGTATTTATGTTAGAGC